AAAAAAATAAATTATTCCAAAATACCGACCAAAGTTGGTCGGTTAATGAACATTGAATTCCCAGAATTCAACATTACCGACCAACTTTGGTCGGTATTTTGCCTGCACTGTTGAGATTACCGACCATAGTTGGTCGGTAATGTTTAATTTTAATTATTTTTAAAAAATATATATATTTTCAATTACCGACCAAAGTTGGTCGTTTTTTTTTTTAATTTTAATAATTAATAAAAAAAAACATAATTTAGTTAAACCGACCAATTTTGGTCGGTAAAATTAAATTAATAAAATATGTTTCCGACCAAAGTTGGTCGGTAAGTAATTAAACTTGTCAGATGGTCGTTTTAAGCTACCGACCAAAGTAGGTCGGTAATTTCCGACCAACTTTGGTCGGTAAGCCATTCCGACCATCAAAACACCGTCCACACCATAATGATCGCGTTTTGGTTGGTAGTTTGCCATAACCGACCAACGTTGGTCGGTTTTTAGCGAATTTCTAGTAGTGTCTCAATATTGTTTTGCCTTAGACCACGAGATCCGTTGAACCGCCCGGTTGTATAGAGTCAACAATAAGTTTGAGATCTCTGCACTTTAAGTTGGAGACCAACTCGGACAACATAAACTTTTTACTGTCGTAGTCGGAATTTGAGTTAGAAACTTCTCTATCAACCTATTAGACTCCAACTACAAACCAATGTGTTATTGAAAGATGATATATATCCTGAAAATGACTCCTCCATATCTAAAAAAATTGGATAAACTATGCTTTTGCAAGCTAATTACTAAGGCTAATACACTAGACTATGTATATGCTTGATGTGCTTTATGGCGGCACACAGAATACAGGGATCAGGTAACATTTGATTAAATTCAGAAAATTGTGCTTGTTTTACAATTGCTAGTCAAGATACAAAAAGAAACAGAAAAATATGTCAACTTTTCAATACTAAATGTCTTTGAACTCAAATAACAACATCCACTTTTACATTTAAAGGCAGAAAAATTCAGGCAAAATCTATGCAAGCAGTATTTTATGTTGTCATGCACCTCTGAAAAAGCTGTTTGTCGATAAGCTTGTTAAGACCTTTGGCCCTAATATAACATGGATATGAAGGTTTAAAATATAACAAGACGCTGAAGCAGAGAATTGAAACTAATCTTTTATAAGCTTGAAGTACTGATTGTCGATAAGCTTGTTAAGACCTTTGGCCCTGGAAACTAAAATGTGCAACTCCAGAAAGAGCAAGAAAGACCTCTCAAAAGAAAAGAATATTTTGGATGATCCAACTGGAAATGAATTTCTACAAGCTGGCAAGTCTATTAGTAGACACTCCGAGATGGATGGAAAAGTTTGGGATCAAGAACCTTAGAAAGATCAAGAATAGGCTTTGATTCTAGGAATGTTGAGAATGATGATCCAGTTGTTGAAGTTGTTAATAACCTCATTTACGAGATCCAAACTAATGATAACTTCATGTGCGGCTGGACATCTTCAGAGGATGTAAACTCCTCAAAGCATCATCAGTGCCTTCCAAGGCTCTCCAGACAATAGTTTTACCATATTTTTTTAATTGCCAATCTTGCAAATTCTATTTCTCTGTCCTCTCCTCTGCTTCTTATCCAAAGTATGCCACTAATATCCATTGCAAGTATATAGCAGAAGATTTGAGAAGAATTAGAGACATAATAAGTGCAAAAACGTTCAATCGTCCTTATAGGGAAGGCATAACAAGCCTCTCCAGGCAAAAGCTTGACCCCTATTTCTTCAACTGTTATGGGTGGAAATCTTGTTTCACATCAACTCTGGACTTTTACTACTTTCAGTGCGGGTCCACTTTTACTGCTAGGTACTTGAAGGCTTGTTTCTTGAAGAATTGAACAGATGGCATCCTTCCTCAGGAAGTCCTTTAAACCTTTACAAAGTTACATTAAAGGAAATATATAACTGCTTATTAAATGGCATGACAGACATATTATGAATCCAACTATGTGTATAATCACTGCAAACCACCTTCTCCATTACCTTTCGTAGAACACATTGAATATTTCCGCTTCGTGCAATGTTTTTCCTGAAAGAGTGGCTGAACTGTTTTACAACTTTTGTGTTTAATCCTTAAAATCGTCAACGGAGTACCTGCAAGGGATAAAATAGCATTCTTTGGGTTAGAAAGAGAGGAGCTAACAGTGAAACAATATTTTGTAGCAATAAAAGTTGAAGAAAGAGGGAATAACCTTTTGCCTGGAGAAGCTTGTTATGTCTCTCCCGAAAGAACTGAATATTTTTGCACCTATTATATCTCTAATTCTTCTCAAATCTTCTTTGACACACACCACAAATACAAGCAGCATAGTTTGGATAAAAAACAGATGAGATAATTGTGAAACAACATTTGCAAGAGTGGAAGTTGAAGAAATATGAGAAAACTTTTGGCTGGAGAGCCTTGAAAGACACGGATGATGAACCAAGCTTTTTTGATGAGTTAGCACCCTCCAAAAAAAGTCCAGCAGCATGGGAAGTTATCAGCACATTGGATCTCGTAAACAAAGTTATTAATAGCTTCAACAACTAGCTTCAACAACTGAATCATCATTCTCAATATCCCTAGTATCAAAATCTAACATTGCAGGATCTGTTCAAAGGTTCTTGATCTCCATGAATACTTTGGCCATCTATCTCGGAGTGTCTATCAATAGACTTGCCAAATTGTAGAAATCCATCTCCACTTGGCCCATCCAAATTTTTCCTTTCTCCAGAAGGTCTTTTCTTTCTCTTCCTGGAGTGGCACGTTTCTGTGTCACAAGGCTAAAGGTCTTAAAAAGATCATCTTTTATCACTGCTTTAGGCTTATAAATCTTAGTTTCAGCTCTCTGCCTCAGCGTCTTGCTAAATTTCAAGCCTTCGCATCCATGTTGTTCTTCATCATCTGCTTAAATATAGTTCAGTGATATTCTAGAAATTTGCATCAACTTCTAAATCGCAAATAGAAAGGATTATAGATATATTTTGTGGAACAATCTCAATCTTGGGAAAGTTATCAAGCACAAAAATCTGATAGTTGACTTAGATCATGAACGGGACATGGCTCTTGATAAATCACAATAGCATAGATGCGACTTTGGTGTGATCTATGCCAGCATTCTCTTCCAGAATAAAGCCCTCTTTGGAAGTGCATGATAGACAAATACTTCATGCAAGGCCTTCACCTAGATTCTTTTGCCCTGAAATGTAAAATTGGATATTGTTAGAGTTTTAAAAAATTATGTATAGTACTGAAAAATTGACATACTTTGTTTCTTTTACAGGAGTTGTAAAACAAGCACAACCATGACTATGTAAAGTTTTTTGAATTTAAACAAAATATTCTGGATCCCTGTATTCCACCATAAAGCACATCATGCATAGGCATAGTCCACTAGCTTTAACCACAACCTTAGTAATAAGCTTGTAAACACCATAGTTTTTCCAAATTTTTAGAAATATGGAGGAGGCATTATGATACTTAGACTTTTCCTAGGGAGTACAGTTCTAGGCCTTCGATTTCTCCAATCGAAAGACACCATCGAGGATTTCTCCAGAAAAAAGCGATCGCCGTGGAGCCACCAAAGAAGGAAATCGGGAAAAAAGTCAATCACCGAGGAGCTCATCAGGCAAGGAAATGGAGAGGAGTGTATGACAGTTCAGTGGACTTGGCAAAGAAGAAACTCTGACTTTAGTACTGGATCCGAAATTAATCTGAATGTGAATATGGAGAAGCGAATTAGATTTGGGCTTAGGAGTTTGAATATCCAGAAGCTCAATCATTTCCAAACTGGCCCAATTTATTTTTCCTCATTGCAAATTATTCATTTTACGACACATGAGTGACATATCAAGGAACAATTCTGTAGTACAATGAGTAGTTCAATGGTTTTAACTCTTAAAATGTAAAAAAGTTTTAACTTAAAATACACCGACAGTGTATAGAAACTTTTACACTACCAAGTCACTCATAACATATCTATAGGTAATCCCTCCATAAAAAGTGGGATGTTTAATCTTAAAAACAAGGTAGGTTACCGGCTATAATAGGTAAAGATGACGATAGTGTAAATTCTTTTCACCATTAGTGGATATTAGTTAAACTCAATGTAAAAGTACTTATTTGTTTGACCATTGTTGAAGTTATAGGTTCTTTTTAATGTATGCATTATTTATGGTGCACCATTCCTATCTTTAGATGTCTATTAGATGAAAGAAGTAGCCAATTACACATCAAATGACTAAAATTAATCAGATAGATGCAAAAGCATCACATTTTCACAAAGCTCTAACTCACCAGGGAATATGTTGGGCACTCTACTACAAGAGCCACCAGTAGCCAAAGGTGTTTTATGAGGTGAAGTTTCCTCTTCAAAAATTAGCTAGAGGGTGACAATGGCATTGCTGACTCTGTCAAAGCCTCGTCCAACCTTCTTTTTGCAGACTTGGTTCTGTAACACCATATCTCAAAGGCTTCACTAAGGTCCGGATATTTAACTTGCTCAGCACTTATCCAATCTGCTAGAATGTCAGCTTGATCATTTGATGGTAATGCTGAAACCAACGAAACTATTGCTCCCTCAATGCATTGGGAAAGGTCTTCGCTCATCATGTATGGAAATGCAGCCTCCGATTTGCCCATTTGATCGGAAAGAAACTTCATTTTTCTTATGTATGGAAGCCATGTCTTGAGCAGTTCCACTCGGCTTTCTGCTGGAAGAACTACAGTTCCATAACCTACTGCGTCGAACACTTTTGATGTCATTTCTATTAACTTTATCTTCAAACCCCACATGATAGAATCAAGTCTTTTGTCTTCGATGACCTTCAATAAATTGCTCGATATATTAGCCCAGTGGGAGACGAAGTCCTTCATTAGATCCATCTTCAAAAGAGTGTTACACATCCATTCAAGGTCAGATAGACTCCGCATTACTTTCTTTTCAATATCCTTGTTCGCAATGTCAGGTTCCAAAATCAAGGAGAATAGTTCATTTTCAAAAGAACAAAATATTTTAGACACCAAAATTCTAGTCTCCACTTTTATTTCTTCATCAGCTATGACAAGAGGAATCTTTTCATCATCCTCGAGCATGAACTCAACCTGTTCTTGGGCTGAGGTTCTTAAATCATCTTCAAATGGAGGGAAAGAATCACCGGTTGAAGTGGCAAAGCGGATAGCAGACAAGAAAACTTCTTTCGTACCACATAATTCTGTTTCTTGTATATTGGTACATATGGTCATGGTATAAGCACTAAGTTCCTGAAATGTTCCTTGTCCTCCTTATTCACCGAGGAAAAGCCGAACGACTGAATGCAGCTATGAAGAAGTAGGGACTTCAAAAATATCAAAAGTATATCCAAGAGAGTCCACCTGAGGCAGAAAAGGGTCAATCTAGAGGAATATAAAACAAAGAGTTGAAAGAAACAAGAATCGTAAGGAGTTGCGAATAGTGAAACAACATGCAGATTTCAAAGACAGTAATAGCTAGCAAATAAATGCATTTTTTGAGCAAACATCCTCCTCATTCTTTCACAATGAGTTAAACTATGTAGTTTGTACCATATTACTTGTTTTGGTGCATGCAAGGAGCTATCTATCTCTAACAAATAAATCATAACCAATTTACAGATACTAGACACTAACAAGACTGTCAACCTATGCAAGCAAGATAAATAACTATCAATTTTCAAGCAAAAAGACCCTCTTTTTATTTTCATTTCCTCAAAATAAAAGGATGGAGTACAATAAATAGCCTAGAAAAAAGAAAAATAAACAGCTGCTCAGAGGCTGCTTCTATACACAAGCTATGGACACACAAAAAAAGTTCCCAACTTGGTATATCTTAATAGATCTCTAGTTATTCAAGGAATATAAATTACTAAAAACAGAATCTCTGACTCCCTCAATTTTACTGGGTAGGCCAAAACGAAGATACCAAGATTTAATTTTTATTTCATACCCAAGAAAAACTTAGGACATCATACAATTAACTTGGGAAAAATCAGAAAGAACTATGAAAAATAGAAGCTTTATTTATGCAGTGGATTTCTTCTTTTTTTGAAAAAAAAATCCGGATAAAAGGTGTTTACGGTTTTTGAGAGAGAAAGAGAGACAAAGAGGGTACCTAAAACATCGGTTTCGCCGGAGAAAAAGAGGTGGAGAAGCAGCAGTTTTGCAGCTTAAGTACTAAGCTTAGCTAAAGAAGAAAACTATGGCGTCATTTGGAGTTTTGGGTCTTGTTTTTCGGGTCTAAGTTGAGCCCATTAATACATTATTTGGGCTTGCAGAATGGGCCCCCATTTTCATATTTCTATTTGGAGATTTTCGTTTCTATACAATATTTGAAACTTATTTATCAAATTTATCCTAGTTTTGTATATTAACCGTCCTAAACAAGAATTACTTACAAAATCAACAGAGATGAAGCAGAAGATTAAAATACACCACCTTTGAGTAAGCAGGCGTATCCTCTTCAACTCATCCTTTTCCCTTTTGATTTGTTCTGTTCTTTCATCTTTAACTTCTGACTAAACCAACACCCCATCTTTCCTCCTACTTTTCTTTACCCAAAGTAGCAAGAACTTATTTATAACTTTCAAACAAATTTGATATGAAGTTTATACATCTATAATTGGCATATAATTTAAATACAAATTTTATACAATTATTCATACAATATACAATTTACTTACAATTAATTTACAACTTTTATACAATATTAATAAAAAAAAATACAACTACAACAAAATACAACTTAAATACAATTTTGTACAACTATAACACAACTTTATTACAATTCTAATACTTATATTCAATGTTCATACAATATTCATACAAAAATAAATACAAATTTAATATAATTTTTATAAAACCATAATACAATTTTGCTACATATGTACAACTTTAATACAATTTGACGTCTCGACTCTCTTTTTCACATAAATCTCACACCGGAGCAGAACTAATAAAATTTTATAACTAATGAAGGGGTGGCTTTGACTGGTTTTCATGGATGAAGAGGTATAAGGGGATTTTGGTTGGCGGAGCAAAGGGAAGAGAAGAGGAGGGGTCAGCTTCCATTCTAGGGTTTGAAGGCAGTAGGAGTCAGGGAAATTTTTCCTATTTAATTTCCTATAATTAAGGGAATAACTGATTCGCTATTTTCTTAATATAAAGGGATAGACATTAATACTAATTTGTATATAATTGATAAATTGTATATGTTCATGCAATTAAGTTAAAATTTAATTAGGGAGGGTAATAAAGTTTCATATATAGTATAGGAAGGTAAAAATCGCTAGTTCTAATTTGCAGAACTAACTCAAATAGTTGTTCACCTAACCGCTTAAACTAGAAATAGTCAGTGGAGATATAATATATGCATAATTTATATATTGTATATGTATAATTATGTATAATCTATGTATATAGCTAAAAATAATAAATAGTGAATATGACCGGCTATTTTTGTAAAGAGCAATTATTACTTTTAGCATGTGGCCAAAACTATTTACATCTAGTAACCTCAAAAATGTATAATATTTGTATATCTTTTGCATATAATATACAAAAAAATTTATATATACCAAAAAGGAATTAGCTATTATTTTTTCATGTTTGGTTGGCTTAAATATTTTGGAAAATATTTTTCGCATGAACTCATTTTCCTCCAATTGGAGAAAAATATTTTCCCTATCAAGAGAAGGAAAAACATTTTCCTAATCTCCTTTTCAATTTTTCCCACCCTATTCCCCATCCCCACCAACCCCCACNGAGTACTTTTCTTTTTCATTTTAACAAATATGTATTTTCTTTTCATGATATAAAAAAATATATTTTTATTTTAACAAAAAAAAGGTACTTTCTTTCTTTTATTTCAACAAAACGATGTAGTAAAAAGTATTTTATTTCATTTCAACAAAAAGAGTATTTTCTTTTCATGATGTAGAAAAAATATTTTCTTTTATTTCAATAAAATGGGTATTTTCTTTTCGTGATGTAGAAATAGTACTTTTTTTTAACCAAAAAAGGAGTATTTTTTTTAGTTATGGAGCACAAATTTCAACGTTATTTTTGCGTAAAAAAGTAAAGCAACACATTAGTTTCTTTGATTTGTGTGAATTTTTAGAAGAATAATTAAATTTTAGAAGAAAATAGAGTCCTAAAAACGTTGGGTATTTGGAAGGGGGTGAGGAGAGTAGCACAAAAAATATTTTCTACTCTTTAACCAACTATTAAAAAATATTTTATAAAAAAAGTTTACCACACACCAACCAAACAAGAAAAAATAAGTGATAAAATCACTCATTTTTCATGAAAATATTTTCATGAAAAATATTTTTCTTCATACCAAAACCACCCTATATGTTATTTCTGTTTGATTTAATATAAACATCGGGTACAAAGAATGTCAATAGGTCCATAGGCTGCTTGTTGGTTAGGATGTGCATTTATATTTCATGTATCTATCTATCTAAGTCACGTATTGTCAATTTCTAGCCAAGATCTCCACATTACAAAAACTACCGGTCAATCTTATACAAGGAAGGAAAAAGGAAAAAGATGACTATTGATTGTAAATATTTCAAAAAATACATATTTTCTTTTGTAGGGGAAAAACAAGCTAAGTATTAGCTTATTTTTGTTCATGAATATCCAAAATATCTTTGCAACTAATATTCAACTTGGAAGTTTCTACATGTCATTGACTCATCCTTTCCTATTAAGGTTTTTTCTTTTATTCTTATCTTAATACAATGCCCTTTTTAGGAGGCGTATGAAAGAACTATATTTTATGGGTTCGACATTTAAAGTTATTAGTATAAACTTATTATATTTTTAAAGTTATGAATTCAAATTAATTATTTGTTAGGAGTACATTGTAATTTTAGCAAATTTTTACGCATATATTTATGTTGCACATCGAAAATGTTGGGTTGGAACGAATAAACCTAGTACCGTAATGGTGCATGCACCGTGGGGTGGGGTGGGGGGACAGAGGGGTATAAATAGTGGTTTGTTGGAAGCTCTTCTATTCTTATTTCTCTCTTCTAGTAGTTGGTTTCAAACTGAAACCTTTCTTTCCTTCTTTTTCTTCTACAATTTCATTTTACACTAATAATTTCTAACTAATCTTATTTCACAAGTTGTACTCTCTGAAAAACAGCGAAAGGAAAATCTTTAAAAAGAAAATTTGTCTAGCTCCAACATGGCAATGGCTACGAGTTTTCAAGGTGAGTCAACGATTTTAGTTTGTAGAATTTTATTATTCTTTTTTTCTCGTATTATGGCAAAGGATATATTATATGCAAAGTCATCTCAATAAATTCTGCTTTTAGTCCTAGAGCTTGTAAAATGGTATTAAACAGAAACAATGTTTGCATGTCTTTTTTTAATTATATTTTTGGCACTCTAGAATACATATTCTCATGTGTATATAGTTCAAAATTATGTTCTTGTTGAATATATTGTCTATTTTTCTTTCTTCAAGCTACCATTTTTTCTTCGCCAACTACGCACTATATATTGCAGCAATTTTCTGTGCATTGGCTGGTTTATTTTTACGTTCTTCCTTTTTAGAATAATTTTCGGTTCAATAAAATTGATAGATTAATAAATTAGCCGAGTGCATGTTAGCTACCTAAGTTTCGACTTGTAGTTTTGACTAGTTATACGACCATATCATGCATATATTTTCTCGGTCAAGAAAATGCAATGCATTCTATACATGATTATATTTTCAGACCATTAGGTGCTCAAATATTAAACTATACTATAAGTAAAAGCATTCCCCATTATGATTAAAAGAAAAAATATATAACATGCTTACATGCAGAAGAAGATGTCATTTACTTAACGACATATTGAGAAAAGGGGAACTTAAGAAATATTTCCAACTTTAGTTTAATTATTATTTTTTGAACGGTTAGGATAGACCACCTTTTAGAACGGTGGCCATTATACATACTTTTCGCACCAACTTAAGAGAATATTATGTTAGATAGAATTTGAATTGCATGAGGTAATAATATTATTATGACAAATAAGAATTGCATCTTTAAGGTAATTTTCAGTCTCATTTTATTGGACCTTATAACTATATTATTCGAGAAGTAAAATGAAAGTAAAATATGCATGTATATCTAGAGTTACCTACCAATCGCATGTGCAGTATATTTAAAATAAACAGACTGGTAGCTGCTTTTAGTTGAAGTTCTGAATATTTGGTCTAAGGATCGTACTTCATGTTGTTGTCAAATATAAAGAAAGATGTAGACAAAACCTTGACAATTGAAGACATGAAGAAGATATATTCCAAAACTATTGTAGTCCGGTAAAAGCAAGTTTAAAAAAAAAAACTTTAAGTCTTGTAAAAGAAAGTAAAAGTTCTGATGACATGGAAATATGTTGTTATTGCAGCTTAATTTTGTATCTAGAGCTTTATGGAGGTTTTAAGAGGAGATGATGAGCAAAAAATGTCGGATTTGTTATTCATGTAAAATGTTAAGAGTCTATGCTTGATTTGAATTAATGTGAACTTTATATTCATCCTGATGTGTTAGGATTGCTTTTAGTTAAAGCGGCCTTGTGGTAGCAAGGAGATTGACATTGATCCCTACCTTGTTGTTTACCCTTAAAATTGGATAACAATTAAATTTATAAGTGATTTTAAGGATATGTGATTTCACTTGGCACAAACTTAGAAATATGAGAATTGGAGTTAGAAATTAACTGTAAAATAAAGCAAACCGATATATCATGCAACTTTGGCCCTTGAGCTAGGTTGCCCTCGTACCAACTAAGTGTATTATTGAAGAGTAAGAACCGAACTATTGAATAAGAGAGTTTAAGAGAGAAAACGTAATATATTGCTTTGTTATGCGTGAATGTCCTCCTTACAAAATGATTGGAACCCCCTTTATATAGTAGATGAGTTCTACATATGGTACAATTCTAAATACAGAAGGAAATCTCTTGATTGGCTAATCAATCGATCTTGACATGATACATGCCGAGATCTCCACCACAATTCTCGCCCGGTCACGAATTCCTCGGCTTTCCGTTATTCGACTTAGCAGGCTTCCTTCGATCTCGCTAGATCTCTCTCCTTCTCGGTCTCGACCTTAGCTGGTCTCGATCTCGATCGATCCCTGAATCACAAGCTAGGCAATATCTATTCATGTAACGATCTAATATAATTTGGGATCGAA